AGCCAATAAACAGAATTGCCAGCAATTTATCATCATACAGTATAGGTAATAGTTTAAAAAAGCCCCTTATACCAAGTATCTTGAAATCCCAGATAAAAAAATTAGGTTATGTTGTCTAAATGAACAAATGATTCAAACTACCTTGTTCAGTTCTCTTGAGAAATGTACTTACTGGCCCTTGAATTTATATTACATACCCTGGTGGTTTTAAGTTTGTCTTCTGTACATCCACGTCTTAAGCTGTGGATGACAGAACCTTAGGATTTGATTTAAATTTGTTATGAATGAAGCTATTGCCAAGAACTGGTTAAATCAGCTAGTAGCAGTAGACTGACTTCAACCCATTGCTCTTTACATATGCTATAAATTTGTTAGAATTCACTAATATTTTTGGGAAGTTAATGCAAAGATTGATCTGAGAACCTTGTTGTTACCTGCTTCAAATCCTGAACTCATATTTTGGAAGCTTTCTTCCATGTGTAAGGAAACTCTTTGGTTTCCAAACAGTTCCTTCTGGTAAAGTATTGTTGCACTACATATGTACTTCATAAATAGTTAAAGTGTTACTAAACCCAGGACCCTGCATTCACTATATCTGGTCTCCCACAGTACACAGAACATGGAAATGCCATTATTTTAGTAAATATTAACTGCTAAATACCTATTCTCATCAGCAGTATATAGCAGTCTTGTGACTTCTATCAGTGTCCAGCTGAGCACTGGTTAAAGCTTGTTGGAGGAGTTTTCATTCTCCTATGACTGTCCCATGAGGCTGCATAACCCCTGACCCTCTGTCTGGCCAGTGCTGATTGGACCTGTGCTTATCACATGCACCCTCCCAAAGAAAAGAAACTCTCTAGCAATACACAACAAACTGAGCATGTGCAGAGTGACTCCAAAGACTCTGCCTTATCAGGAGATGGTTCAGGGACAATAGAAGAAGGGAAGGATCAGAGAAGACAGCATCAAACAGCTTTTTTGCACAATGCGGAGGATTACCCCTTAGGTGCCACAGTGAGTGTAACAAGCATGCTTGACTGCATATACAGACTGATTTTACTGTTGAGGGTTTAGTAACACTTTATGTCTTCTTTGAAACATTGCTTGGTTTTATCTGTTTTAAGTTTTGATAGATCTGTCTACAGTTTTGATCTTTTATGCAGCTAGGAACTGTATCTTCTTTTTTAGCATTTTAGATATGTTTATAAACTTTAATGCCTGTGATATTATAGCTATACATTATATTTTATTCAAAGCTATATTGTTTTAGTCAATTCTGCAGTGTTCTGAGTTACTGTATGCAGCCAGTTATAATCTTAAAAGTATTATTTAGTCTTGTACATGGCTTTGTGTCATCAAAGCCTTTTCAGTAAGAGCAATCATTTTTCTTATTTGTTTTACTGTGTTTTTCATATTGGTATAGGTAGAATAGGGAATTATCTACAATATGGGGTAGATGTGATAATAGACATCCACATATTCCATCAGAAATTGATGTTAAAACTCCCTTATGAAAGAAGCATAGGGATTGTTTGAAGGGTTGATCAGATATGGCACAAGAAGAATATATTGTTTAACTGAGCTATTGGAAGATGGGGAGACAGATAAAGATGATTTGATGATATTGTAAATGAGGATGCTGAGGGTGCTGAGCAGTGGCTGTAGGCTATTTGTGGGCAGTGAATTCTAAAAGTGTCCCTCCAATTAACTTTCAATACTGGGGTTAAGACTTGTGTTACCATTATGGTTGGGAATTTTGAGTTGGTTAATTTCAACATTGGTGCATCGTACAATTTCACCTATTCAGAAAGTCTGATATTAAGCCATCAGATAAGGATGACAATATTGTAATATTAAACAAGCAACATTATAAAAATGTTTTCTTAAAACTTGCAAGTAGAGATTGGTATATAAAAACCCCAAGATTCTTCTTTCAACAAGACAAAAATACACTATTTCAGCTCATTGATAAGGCACTGGTGAAAGGTATTATTGATGAACCACAGTAGGATTTATAAAGGTCCTTAACCCTAATATTCCTGTTTTCTGTATGCTGCCAAAGATTAAGCCAGTAACTGATCATACTGGGAAAGCAATAGTTTCACATAAAGTTAGTTTGACTAAAAAAAAAAAAAATAGTGAATATGTTGAGAAGGTCCTTCAGTTGCTTGTGATTAATTAGACTTTGTATGTGGGAGATCTTACACATCTGTTGACACTGTTGCATGAGATGTAAGTATCTCTGGGGACTATGATGGTAATGTCGGATATCTACGCATTATATTTGAGTATCCCCCACCAGAAAGGCCAAATGATGTACAACAATTTTAGGAGGAAAAGAGGGCCATTTGTAGGCAAATAATTACACAATATATTTGCACTATATCTATTGGAATTCTTTCTTACTCATAATGAGTTAAGTCTGGTGTACAATGATATAATTATAATTTGAGAGTTGAAAATAAATTGAAGGATTTCATTCAGATCCTCGTTACTAACTATACTGTATTTGGAGTTTGAAATTATGCAGCAAAATATGATTATGAAAACTATATAGAAAACTGAATGACAATTTATTGGTTGCAAGTAACTTCCATTCCAAATCAACGACTGAAGGAATATCAATTGAATAGTGCCGTTTTCTTGCAGGAACAGTTTCAGCAATGAGGAAGTTGAATTGGAGGCTTTGAAACTTAAGAGCAGGTTTAAGCAGAGAAGTTAGAACACCAACTGTTTATGAAAAGTGCATACAAGAGCAAATAATGTTTGAAAGAAATAACTTTTTTAATTAAAAAAAAAAATTAGAGCAATGGGTAAATCCTTTGTTTATACAATATATTTGTGCACGTAACAAATACATTTAGGGAAATAGCCAATAAGCATTTGCATTTTTTGACAAAGGTTTTTAAAACATGGAGATTTATGGGTAAGTGTCTTCTTTAAAGAAGCTATAAAGTATTGTCAACAATCAATAGAACACATGTACAACAAATGTGGTGTTTGTGACTTTTGTCCTTTTATTTACATAAGCGTAGTATCATCAAATTGAGTTTGAGTCATTTGAAAAATGACTGCTGATTGGAGTACTCTAGAAATCTTTTATATTTTGTAATGTGATTGCATTGCATACAATGTAGGGAAGACCCATAGGATGGTCAAACATGGATTTTTTATCAACATCTATATGATATAAAAATTATAATTTCTTTGGTCTCCAGTAGCCCGCCACTTTTGTTTTTTAGTATGGGGAATTGCTGCTAGACTGCATTTTTGGGTGATTGATGGTGTTCTCTATAACTACTTAACCATAAGGCCAATTCTGACATTTCTCTCCTACATGTAAAAATCAGCATTTTTCACGAGAAAATTACTCAGAATCCCCAAACATTATTTATTTTTTAAGCAGCAGCCCTAGAGAATAAATTGGGGCAGATGTTGATATATTGCAGATTGCTATTATCTTTAGCTGTCTTTAGGCAACCTTAATATATATGTCTGCTACTTCATAAACTGTTTTATGAGGATGCAGAACTAGTTTGTAATTGTTGTTATTGAATATTGTAAATTTAGAGTCTTTTTAAAATAATGCATTATATTCACATGCATCTTATGTATCAAGTAAACCACATTTAAGTGTTGAACAAAAAAACTTTTCTCTTATGATTAAAACATGTTTATCTATGGCAATGTTTATCAAATAAGTTTAAACTCTTGCTCTGTTTTGTAACTACTGAAACTTTTTCACATACAACACTAAATATTAGGTGTGACATGTATTCAAGAAATATACATGCTAAAATATAATACATTACAGAATACTAGAACAAATAATAGCAACTTGTTTAAAAGGAATTATTTCTTTAGTAGTGCAATTCCAAAGTTTGGCCTCAAAGCGCCGCTGTTTGACCAATAAATGTACAGAACTGGAGCTCCACCAGTGTTTTCCTCTGTGAAACATACCACAGATTTGCTAGGAAGATTTTTTTAATATCCTTTCTAGACAAAGCAAGCATGGTTGCTGTTATTTTCTCAGATTGAGCAATTTGGTATACCCTTATTACTTCACTGGATTATATTTCCCAAAAGGATTTTGGAACAGATTTCTATGAAAATAATGCCTGAGATGAAAGAACACTTAAAGACATGCAAAGGAATCAGATGGCAAGTATTATTTTCCTTCCTGTTCTCCTGGTTCTGTCATTCAGTTTCTGGTCAGATTCATTATTCCATTGTGGAAGAAATGAGAAAAGACTCTATTATAGCAAATATTGCAGATGATCTTGGAATAGATTTAAACAAATTGTCATCTAGAAAACTGCAGATTGTGTCTCATGTTTCAGAGAAATATTTTTATGTGAATCCAGGTAATGGAAATCTCCATGTGAAGGACAGGATAGACAGAGAGGCATTATGTGGATCAGCAGCTACCTGCTCTCTAATATTTGATGCAATGGTAGAAAATCCTTTCTATTTTTTCAATATCAATATAGAAATTCAGGACATAAATGATAATGCTCCAGTGTTTTTTCATGAGAAATTTACCATAGAAATTGTTGAGCTTACATTACCAGGAGCCAGATTTGCTTTACAAAGTGCTGAAGATCCAGATATTGGTACTAATTCTATACAGACATACATGCTTGGCGATAATCAATATTTTACACTGACTGAGACAAAAAGAGATGATGGGAGTACATTTCCAGAACTTATATTAGAGAAATCTTTAGATAGAGAAACACAAAATAATTATGAATTCATTCTAACAGCATTAGATGGGGGAAATCCTCTTAGATCTGGCACAGCCCTAATCCAAATACTTATTGCTGATGCCAATGACAATGTTCCTATATTTACACAAAATGTGTATAAAGTCAGTGTCAATGAAAGTGCTCCTGTTAACACAACTGTAATCATAGTGGAAGCAACAGATAAAGATGAAGGCGCCAATGCACAAGTCACATACTCATTTAGTAAAAGCTCAGAAAGCATTCATCATACAGGTATGTTTAGCATCAACTCTACAAATGGTGAAATAAAAACAAATAAAGATATCGATTTTGAAACAATAAAAAATTATGAACTATCTATACAAGCCAAAGATGGAGGAGGCCTTGTTTCCCATGCCAAGGTCCTAATAGAAGTCTTAGATTACAATGATAATGCTCCTGAGATAATCATTACCTCATTATCCTCTTCTATTCCTGAGGATTCTGAACCTGGAACAGTGATTGCTGTAATAAGGGTCCATGATCAAGATTCTGGGGAAAATGGAGAAGTTGACTGTCAGATTAAAGAGAATGTACCTTTTGAGTTAATTCTATCATCTAACAGATTCTATAAGATTGTTACCACAAAAGCTGTAGATAGAGAAAAAATCTCTAGCTATAACATAACTGTTGTAGCTACTGACAGAGGATCTCCTTCACTTTCCAGTGGAAGAACCATCAGATTAGAGATATCAGATACTAATGACAATCCACCAGTGTTTATGAAATCCGCATATGTAGCTTATGTACCAGAAAATAACTTACCAGGAGCCTCAATATACAGTGTAAGAGCTTTAGATACTGATGCTGGTGACAATGCTAAGATTATGTATTCACTTTTTAATGCAAACATGGAAGATCCCCCAGTATCCATTTATCTATCTATTAATATAGAGACTGGAGTTCTGTATGCTCAGAGGTCATTTGATTTTGAGCAAAACAAAGAGTTCCTATTACAGGTAACTGCTAGAGACAATGGGTCACCATCTCTGAGCAGCAATGTCACATTAATTATTCGAATAGTGGATCAAAATGACAATGCACCAAAAATCCTGTACCCTCCACCAGAAAATGGCTTAACTATCTTTGAGATGGTACCTTTTTCCGCCGAACCTGGATCTTTAATAACAAAGGTGGTTGCAGTGGATGAAGACTCTGGACATAATGCTTGGCTGTCGTATCATTTTATTCAAGTCTCAGAACCATTTTATTGTACCATTAGTGAACATACTGGAGAAATCAGGACATCAAGGTCCTTTCTAGAAAAGGATGTACTAAATCATAAAGTTGTGGTGATGGTGAAGGACAATGGAGCCCCCTCTCTCTCAGCTACTACCACCTTAAGTCTTGTTGTTGCAGACAGTTTTCAACAATTGGTTCCTAAAATTACCAGTCGTGCTAATGATGGTAATCCTGATGCAAACCAGCAGTTATACTTAGTAGTTGCCTTAGCACTGATTTCCTTGTTATTTATTGTAACTATTATGGTGGTTATCATATCAAAGTGCAGAGCTTCAAAATCCCCAACAACCTCATTTAGTACAAGTTTGTATCCTCCCATGGATCCCAGAGTGCTGTCTATGTATAGTGATGGAACATTATCACTCCCCTACCCATATAACTTCTGTGTGACTTTGGATTCAGCTCAGCAGACAATGACTTTACCTATGTTCCACCACATCAAAGTGTCCCTGTGGAAAATTTAATTGACACTGATGATTCTGGAATTGGAAATGAAAGTGTAAGAGAACCATTGACCACCAAAGGTATTGAACAGGTAAGTCATCAGCCATACCTTATTTAACATTTAAAAATTGACTGCTGGTATTGGTGCCACTATTTAATGTATCATATTTTGTTCTGTTTTTAATAAATAGGTGACAGTATCTTTGTAAAATCCCCCCAATATTCACTTTATCAGCACTCCCTTACTGCTTCTGAAATCCCTAGTGTCAGCTGATGTTAGGCACTAAGAGGAGCTGTGAAGTCACTTCATCAGTATGTGACTTGTGGTTGTAAATGGTATTCATTCAGAGCAGAGGCCAGTCACTAGTGGTTTACCACTAGACTCTGTACTAGTTCCTATTCTATTTCATCTGTTTGTAAGTGATATAACTAAAGGTGGTGGGTAAGGTATGTCTGTTTTGAAGATGACACAAAGTTTTGCAATAGGGTTGAAATCCCTGGAGGTGTTTGTAACACAGAACATGATTTGGCATTGCTGGAAGTTTGTTCAAAGCAGTTGAAACTGAAGTTTAATGTTTCTAGAGGTAAAATTATACAGCTAGGAAAAAACAATTTCTTAATAAAGTACAATGTTGGGGGTACAGTGTTGACTAAAACTACAATGGAAAAAGATTGGGGTACTTATTTCAGATGATTGCCAAATAGGCAGTGTGACCATGCAGTGGGAAAACGAATAGAATTTTTGAGTGTATCATTAAAGGGGTCACCAACAGGAGGAAGGAGTTCCTGATTCCCTTATATATTCCCTCAGCTAATAATGGAATCTTCTACTCTTCCAAACAGTCCGTCCCCCACAGTTACTACCTTTTGTACCACTAGCCCCTCCCTCCTAGATTGTAAGCTCCAAGGAGCAGGGCCCTCCTATCCCTCTTGTATTGAACTGTATTGTTGCTGTATTGTCTCTCCCGTTATATTGTAAAGTGCTGAGCAAACTGTTGGCGCCATATAAATCCTGTATAATAATAATAATAATATAGATCTTTATCTAGACCTTACTTAGGATATAGCATCCAGTTCTGGGGACCTCGCTTACAAAAAGATATTGATAAGATAGAATGAGTCCTGAACAGGCAACAAAACTGCTGAAAGGTCTGGGGGATAAAACATATCAGATTGCAGGAACCTAATATTTACAGTCTGGAGGAAATAAGGGAAAGGGGAGACATGGTTGAAACCTTTAAATACATCAAGGGATGAATAAGGTTAAGGAGGGCAGTATTTTCAATTTGAGGCCAAGATCAAGAACACGGGGACATGAGCTGAAACTAGTAGGAGGAAAGTTCAATACTAACCTTAGAAAGTATTGTTTTACAACAATGAACAGTTGATGCTTGAAATAGACTTCCAACAGAGGTAGTGAGTCACTAAGTCAGTCAGTAAATTGATCCAAATATGCGTGGGACAAGCAGAGATTTATACTGACAAAAAAAAAAATAACAAAATAAAAAAATAATTAATGACCTAATAATCTGGATTGTTGTATATTAGTTGTATAGTCTGACATAGGACTTTCATTTTTATGATCTTTAACTTTTGGATAGTTTGGATTTATTACTTTAGGAGTTGGACTTTTTTGCTTTACAAATTAAGGGCCTAACAAAATTTAATGTTTTAATAAGTGCTGTTTTCATAAGGGTAGTAGCTCCACGCTATATACCTTCTTACCTTGTAGTAAAAAATAATACATGTTGCTGCTAAATTCTTCGATTGAAATATACAGCAACAAGTCAGTATGTATTTCAGGGGAACTAACTCCAGAAGGTAATAATACTACAGAGGAAAGCAACACTTTCTTCATATAAATTATATTGAATGATGCAAAAGTGTATGAACTCTAAAAACATGAATTGAAAAGTAATAATACCCGTGCATTGTTATGCATGTCCATTTTGCATTCTCACCAAACAATTCTTGGTAATAGCTTGTCAGCTGTGTTTGCTTTCATATTATTAAACCTTGTAGATGTCCTCTTCTTTACCTATAGGTTTATTGTATTTGGACTTCGTTGGTTGTTCTTTTTTTTATGCACTGGTGTTTGCATTTTACTATACTTTAGTTCGTTCTGTGTGAATTATCAAATGAAGGGGGTGATGCCCTCAAGGAAGCATCACCATCTGCATCTTTGCAAATTTTTTTTTATTGTGTAACAAATACATTTTCTAATAAAAAGGGTTAGATACACAAAATGAGAAGTTAAGCTGTTGTGGTATTTTCATTTCTAGAATATCTGCTAATGTTTGCTCTTGCTAGAATTACTAATAATTTTTTAGAGTTATTTTTGCACGTAGTAAGTAACAATTTAAGTTTTAATTTACATTGTTTTACTATGCTTAACTTTAACTTTTACTTACCTTCAATTTCAACATTAGGAACTGTAAAAATTGACAGATCTACTGTCAGTATACTGTATGTAAAAGTATGTGTTTACAGAAAATCCTATTAAGGCTTCGTGTGTGCACATTTTTTGTATTTTTAGTATTTGAAATAAATTATTTTAAGTAATAAAATGAAATCAAGTTGATTTTTAAATAACTGAAGATAACGAGTGGCAGTCTAAACTTAATTATATCGTGAATTGGGATGTGATTGATCTTACTGCTTCTACAATAATAATATCATATCAACTTTACTAAGTTCAAAGTATATGACAAAACATATGTTAATGGGTGATATTGCTATATACCTTGTTTTAGTGTTTTCTATATGTGGAATGCAGTATGCTAACCTCATGTTTGAAGCTACACCTCACAATAAGAAGATGGCCTTTTAACCATTTAAATATTCAAATGTGCATAAAGACTTTACAATGTGGCTAAAACTACACCAGCCAAAATTGAAATGTAATCTTGAAATGTATACAGAGAGCTTAGCCTACCTCCTCAGTAGTTTTGATTTTCATCCAAACTTTGCTGTAACTATCTCAGTCTACACTAACCCTTTTGACCCTGGAATATATCTGCTGGTGATGCTGGAACACCATCTGTGCTATTTTTTAGACAGGAAAACCCAAATGTGAAAAAATTATTTTGTCATAGCTACCAATCAGATTCAAACCTTCCTTAATGGGTAGAATTTGATGTTGCTACAGGATGGAGAGAAGGTGGAATTTGCACAGTATAGGTTTTAGAGGGAATGCTTCTACTGCCCTACTACTGATCCTGTATAGAGGTGTGTGAGTTTATTCTACAAGAGAGTACACACAAATTAGATAAAGCTAAGCACATTTGCTGTATTTGCTGAATAGAATCCTTCTTTTGTGTCCTGAAACTGTAATGAATACATTGATTTTTTTAGTATCAAGGCCATGAGTATATAAAACTATTGAAAGTAACGTTCAGAGTTTTTAAAATATTTTTCTGCTTGGCCTGTAAACTTGCACAAACATTATTAATATTATTTATATAATCAAAATATGCAAGTGAGCGCTAAATGAGAATAAATATATAGTAGCTGCTAGCAACAAACCAACACAAACATGTACAGTATATATAAAAGTGTACAGTATATATAAAAGTATATATAAAAATCTATTTACTAGTAAAGGTGAAGTAATAAATATGATAAATATATGTTAGGTCACTTTGTATATTCGAAGGTATATATAGAGAAGAAAAAGTGCCAAACAGTGCAAAAAGTGCAATAAAGTGAATCAAGTAATGTCTGTAATACAATATAGTATTGAATATCAATCAGCAAATATCAATCGGTAATTGTACTTATATAGATCAAACGCAATGTAGCCAAGTGCAAAGTGCATGTGTGCAAATATTCATGAAGGGGATCCACCACCTTGGACGGATGTACACTCACCAGAGAGTAAACATTAATAGGCTTCTGTTTTAAGCTGTCTCATCTGGAGGTGAAGAGGCAGCCAAGGGGTTAATACTACTGCTTCATCTGTAAAGAGATGGGGAGGGTGTCCCTTGTCCTGGGAAAAATAGCTCAACCACAGGATCCAGAAATGCTAATATAGTGTAGTATTTATTATTTTGAAAATTGTAACACAAACAGCTAAAATTCCACGTGAAGTATAGTTCAAACAAATACCAAGATGGCCGCTGCTCCGTCCTTCAGCAGCGGAGGCGTGACATCAGCAATGTAGCCTACATTGTGGGTGAAGCCTACATTACTGATGTCACGCCGCCGCTGCTGAAGGATGGAGCAGTGGCCATCTTGGTATTTGTTTTAAATATACTCCACGTGGAATTTTATCTGTTTGTGGTACAATTTTCAAAATAATAAATACTACACTATATTACATTTCTGGATCCTGTAGTTAAGCTATTTTTTCCCAGGACAAGGAACACTCTCCCCATCTCTTTACGGATGAAGCAGTAGGACTACCCCTTGGCTGCCTTTTCACCTCTAGATGTGACAGCTTAAAACAGAAGCCTATTAATGTTTACTCTCTGGTGAGTGCACATCCATCCAAGGTGGTGGATCCCCTTCATGAATATTTGCACACATGCACTTTGCACTTGGCTACATTGCATTTGATCTATATAAGGACAATTATCAGTTGATATTTGCTGATTGATATTCAATACTATATTGTATTACGGACATTACTTGATTCACTTTATTGCACTTTTTGCACTGTTTGGCACTTTATCTTCTCTATATATACCTTCGAATATACAAAGTGACCTAACATATATTTATCATATTTATTACTTCACCTTTACTAGTAAATAGATTGTGCGTTTATAGCGCTACATTTTATATATACTGTACATGTTTGCGTTGGGTTTGTTGCCTATACCTTGAGTGCTAGCAGATACTATATATAGTAAATAGATTGTGCGTTTATAGTGCTGCACTTTTATATATAAGTATTATTTATATGAAAAGTAACATTTATAGAAATTTAAATATTGCATTTAATTAATTGTCTATTGATTTTATTTGGATTGTAGTTTTTCATCTAATTACTATTTTTGCATGAGAAATGCTTTAATTT